ATATAGCACCTTTAAAGGTGGCTTCTTAAAGCGCTTTACAGAATGACAACAACAATAAATTAAAAGAATACACAAGATAAAACACAATTACAATGCACAGAGGAGACCGTGGATGGTGCTACTAAGTATAGTAGGAGCAGAGGGGTAAAGAATGGAAGTTACGTAAAGGCTCTTCTAAAGAAGAAAGTTTTGAGTTTGGATTTGAAGGAGTTTAGAGAAGGTGACTCTCTGATATCCTTGGGGAGAGAATTCCAGAGCTTGGGGGCAAACAGGAGAACACCCTGTCACCCATACAATGTAGGTGGGCTTGGGGGACAGTAAGGAGGCTTGTGTTGACTATCAAGTCTTGTGTTGACTTCAAAGTCCTCATGCTCACCTTTAAGGCTCCACATGGCTTGGCACCTCAGTAGCTTTCTGACTTATTATCTTCCTACTCTCCACCTTACCATCTTCGTACAGTATGTCTGATTCTGGTCTGATGTTCATCCTCCCAGGCTCAATAACACTCTGTGGGTAACAGGGCCTTCTCTAGTTATACTCCATAGCTCTGGAATTCTATTGTCAAGGATTTCAGAGAGTCACCCAAGCGTATTCAAATCCAGACTCAAAGTCTTCTTCTTCAGAAACGCTTTTATGTACAGTAATTGCTGTCTCTGCTCCTTGCATCTCATAGATTTCCAATCCTTTGCATTTCCTTGTGCCATTTTTGTTATCTCCTATCTATGTCACTTTTTTCATTTGATTTAACTGTATTCTTCCTACAATGTTCTGTATGTCATTTTAAAGGTGCTATGTAAATAAAGTTTATTATTATAATTATTACTACAAATGGAAAGGCACAGCTTACAGCAGTCATCTAAGACGTCATTTTTTAAATGTTTCCTGAATCTGTTGTGTGTCAAAAAAGGTTAAAATGCTTTTGCTCATGTTAATGGAAGACCTGTTTCAGCTTTGTTTGTGCATGTGAAACTGAGCCAGAAGGAATATGGGTTTATTTGCAGGGTGGTACAATAAATAAAGATAAACGCATCATAAACTCAGCATAGTTTTCCTTCATTTCCATTAGGTTTTACAGGCAGTTTAATTCTGTATCATGCTAATATGGACTGCAAGTCAAAAATCACAA